CACCTCCGTCAGTGCACGTCATACGCATTGCCTTATAAAGCTAAAGCCGCTTCTCTATGTAGCGCACTTACGGTACATTATGGGGCAATTTCTTTGTTTCTATCTTGTCATGGAAAATCTCGAGCTAGACAAGTTGTTAGGCGCTATGTAGCCACTATCTAGCTATGTTTTTTTACATATAAACAGAGCAACTGCGATGTTTAGTTACTCAAAAAATAATGCAACTACGTGTAAATCGTAACCATTGTATTGTTATATTATTTCAATAAGTACCTACATCTAAGTTCGAACGTTGACATTTATACTGAGGTGACCTTTTTAAATGTGTCCGACCGACCTTATTGAAATGGAAAACTTACAGCAGCCCGATACGAGCAGAAACTACTCATATACCTACTGACGCGACGTCGTGCAACGATACACACAGCTAAACAATTTCCACGAGACACCACCAGCGAATGAGATAAATTTCGGCGTTTTATACAGCAAGACTCCTAAACTACCATTAATCAGTACAATCACCGAAGATTGCTCCACGTTTAGTTGCTCCACCACGATGCAATAAAGGGTTCTGATCCAAAAGGTGGAATGTCACTGTGTCAACTACTTAACTACACTATTATTTGTTTTCATTCAACCCTGACAACAAAAATGTAATCATGCATTAAATCAACTATATTATTGCACAGTAACTTCTAGAAAACGGCTAATCTGCAAGTTTTAAAATTGTTTTAATTCTTAAAGCAATTTTGACTAAATAACATTTAAATGAACTTATTAAGTAATAAGTATACGAATGTTATAGGCCCTTACCATGCGAAAGTCGATACTTTTTAGTAATTATATAAAATCTCAAAGTGAAAGTGCCGTTTGCCTAAAGAGAGCCCAAAATGGGCGATTTTGCGGTACCTAAGATTTTGTGACCAAGTTCCCATATATATTATTTATTTAATATCACCACTAATGTTACTAAATAACATTTATTTCAAATATCCTTTTTTAACATGATTTAGCTTTTATAAATTTATTATTTTGGCAATTGATTTAATATATTTTTCTGTGCCAACAATAAACGCACTCATAAACTTTCTTCTTAAAAGCGAGTATGTGACACAAACACTTGAAAAAAATCTTTAGCATAATAGAACATGTAGCCATCGAATTTAGTGATGATGACAATTTAAATTATTAAAACTTTATTTACTTTAAAGTCTCGGAAACGTTACTTTGGCGCCGGGCATGGATCTGTTTTGGTCGTTCTTTTAAGATCTTCAAATGTGAAACGGGGGCAGTGTACTTAAGCCCATATCGCACGTGGCGTTGATCAAAATGCGGACATGGATACGAACTGCGGTATATAGATATTGCATGGATGTTGTACTGCGCAGTTTGCTTTTGCACCGGGCGTAGACCCGACTCGAGTCAACGACCCGATATTAAGAAGTTGTTTTCGTGATGCTCCCTTCGCTCGGATACCTGTGAGAAGATTGTAAAGAAAGAAAGTACCGCACGGATACCCAGTGTCGGCATTGTATACTGGGGAAACTAACGGCACGGTTGTCTGATTGTCGGACAGACAGTCAAACGCGTATCTAATAACCGGCCCTAATGCCCGTCTCGATAACGTGACCTGCTCTCTGCAGCAACTTTGTCGCGTCTACTTTCATCTGTACTCTATTCCATTGTTGTTATTGTCTGCATGTGACCCTAAGTCGACACTCGTCTCCATACCTTTGTTCTCAAGTCTGTGGTTTCTCCGTATTTAATATTTATTTATCTTTACTTCAATTTATTTCCTTTAAACAAATAACAACATGTTTTTGCAATAAACACATAATTCAAGGTCCTTTCCCTTATAACTTTGGTTGTTATCGTTGAACAGTGTATGAGTACGGCTGAAATTTCTCAAATGAAAACAAAACATTCAATAGACTACGTAATATTTTTATAGTTGGTCGCTAGTAAACAATATGACGTAGCGGCAGTTGTGAATGTTATTATTAGGCTTATTGTTTGTTACCTTTAATCGTACCATGTCGTGCAGACTATAACCTAAATATGCTAGGATCTTGCATTTTAAAGTTTTCTGCTTGTGTCTAACGGCTTTCACAAAGAAACCTACATTCATACCGCGATCATACTGAAAGATAAGTCCCTGTACTATTTATTATAATACTTGTGAGTGGGTGTGTGTGGGTGCGTGTGTTCAGCGTGAGAGTGACATAATATGTTAAAATAGAGTGTGTGAGTGAATGACGTTTGAGTGAATTCACAGATAACAGATATTAACATACGACCACATAACCTCTGTTACGAGACTGGCAAAATAGGGAATGCCTAAGGTAAAAGGGATGTTAGTGGGACTCAGTTAAGTGACGAGTCATGCAAAATAGTAATAAAATGGATATGTTCTGTATGTATGATAACAGCAAACAAAATTAGATGTTTTTTAACACAATTGCTCGAAAAGTTTTTTTCGTCAATACCGGTGACGCATATAGAACGTAGTAGGTACTTTTCCGCTCGAATGCGAAAATAATTTAATTTAATTTTCTTATTTCTTGTAATAGTCCAATTTTTAGTGATAATAAACTGACGTTTAGTAGGTTGCTCGTTTTTGATGAAGTAAAATAGTGTTGTATTATTTTAAAGGATCGAATTCATCATCAAGGTAAATTATATCTTTATAATAATTCGCAAGTACTAATTTTAATAATCAAGATTTTGATAACAGGAAATCGGTAGAAGTACGTACACTAATTGAAAATATTGTAGATTAATAGTCAAAGATCTTTAACTTTTAATTTTGTCTGAGTGAGTGAGTTTTAATACCTGAAACAAACACATCACTATATTATAATAAACATGGCAACATTATTTTTCAAAGTGACATTAGTATGTAGGTGTCAATTTATCTTTAATTAAAAATCCAACTATAGCAATTCCTAAAAATAATAATAAAAATATTCCTTTGTTTTGGAATAAGTTCTGTGACGGAAGCGCTAAATGGCACTAGTGGTATCCTTAAACACATAAGCGTTTTGTTATCTTTAATGTATATAATTACGCTAAAGTGAACGAAATAGATAGTGTCTATCAAAATTTCTCTCACAACACACCTTTTTTAGCGGAAGTCTCCAGTGCCGAGGCCCGTGCCCTGCTGGGTAGTACTCTCATGCCTGCTTACTTAGCTTCTGGGAGGTACCCTTGCATACATTCTATAAATTTGGCTTTTAAAACCATAGAACGTGATCTCTTCAGTTTGCTCCATAAAAAAAAAACAAATTAATCTATGGTTCTCGTTCGTTATAGCTGTCAAAATCTGAGACGACACACAATGGTGGTCGTCAACTTTGGGTCAACTGTTAGTTTTCGAACGCAGTTTTATTTTCTGTTGACGCAGTGAAAAAGAAAACTAGTTTACAAGTATTTCTTTATTTTTATATGCGATGTTGGACGCGGTTGGACAGTGACTCTTGTATATTTTTTCAGTTATGTTAGTTTTTTCGTGCAAAATAAAAAATAAATTTTAAAACGTGTTTTAATTATTTATATAGCTCAATTAAAACTGACTATGTAAAAGACTGCTCTTATATTCCTTTATTTTCTATGGCAGATTATTTTTAGGCAATCTATTTAACATTTTTTTTGTTATTCTTAAGTTTTGTTTGTACTATTTTGTATTTAACAATTTCACGTTAACTCTGTCATACAAAATTGAAAAACAAGCGCACTGCCTATACGGATTTAGGTAACTACCTATATACGTACGTATAATATTGATATATGCGTATACATATACATACATACACACACATGCACGCACGCACGCGGATACTCTCTCTCTCTCTCTCTCTCTCACACACACACACACACACACACACACACACACACACACACACACAC